CTGTGGGAGACAGGCCTGGCAATCCGCTTTCACCAACAGCCGCCAGGCAAGTCCTCGGCGGCAGTTCTGCTGCTGGCACAGGGGCCGTCATGCGGCGACATCGAGGTGAGAGAGACAATTTGGTCTGCTGGCCGCCTGACTCTGTTTTAAGAAGATGCCCAGACCCAAACAACATCAGAGAAAGCAGACCGACCTATCAACGACGTGCTACAGCCAACGTTGTTTGGAGGGAGAGTACAGTGTCCTCCCAAAGCTATATTTTGCCAAACAACTGATCTTCCTACCCTAGACAGAAACTTCCAGAAGGCACGGGCAGAGACTTTCTAGTTTGAGGACACAAACAAGAAGGACCGTTTTATGCCAGGACCCTTTCAAGTTCATGGTGTGCTGGGGAAGACGGGAACGCCAATGGAAAGTGACCCAACCTTACGATGGCAGCCTAGGGACATCATGGGAAGAGGTGGGTGGATCGGCTATGCTGCCAATTTATTTGTCAGACTGTCCATCCATCCATCCATCCATCCATCCATCCATCCATCCATCCATCAATCCCGCCCTTCCTCCCACGAAACTAGCAGCTGACACACACACACACACACACACACACACACACACACACACGAGCGTGGACAGTGAGCACACCTGAGCTACAGACTGAACAAACCCCACAGCCTGCCCTTGGGTCGCAGCTGCTTCAGGAAGGCCATGTTCATGGGGACCACTGCCGGAAGGAACACAGCGACAATCTGGAGACCCCGCGTAGGCGCAGGGGAACTGGGGTTCTCACTGGTTGCTTTTGAAGAAGTAGATCACCAGGCCTCTTTCCCCAGGCGCTCCCAGAACTCAAGAACCACTCACGGCACCAGGGGAAGGACAACACAGGTGCGCTTCACACGAGTCTATGCATGCAGGACCTGTGTCTCTGGGGAAGACCTCCCGGAGGGGGTGTTGAGGTCAGACAGGTAGGAGTGGACACCGAGGTACCGGAAGCTGTTCCCAAGCCAGAGGCAGAGCATGGGGGTCTGTGAGATCGCCCCGTGCCCTAAAGGGTACCGAGCAACACAGCCCCTGGCCACCCACCAACCTACCCTCAGGGCCTTAGGAGTCTCCTTCCTAAACCCAGGGGAGCAAGACCAGATCTGATTTCCAGCCAGACACAGGGATGTCCCCTATGCTTACGCCCTGGGTGTTCTTGGCATTTGGCTGACCAGAAAAGACCTCACTCAGGCCCCCACCAAGAGATCGTTTCCAACCCAGGGCAGCTGGGACCCACCAGGCACTGCAGTCAATGCTACAGCTACCAGTCAGCACGCTGCTGCCTTAGGCACGTCCCTCCAGAGACCTGGAGCGTCACGCTCCATCAGGGCCTCTCCTATTCACACAGGACCAGCAGCGTCGTTCCGAGGACACTTCCTTAAACTCTTGTCTTCCCATCGGACAGGGCTCTCCAAGCCACAATCAGAGAATCACAACCTGAAGCTCAGACTTACAGAAGCGCGAGGTCCAGGGGCACCCTTCTTTCCTAGAGACCCATGGGAGCCTTCACCACACCTCACACCCTAATTACCCAGCGGGTTCCCAAGATTGCCCCAGAAACCCCCCAAATGTTAACTCCCTGAACGCAGCGGAAGCGAGACACAGGTCTCCTGATGGATGTGCTCAACAAACGCGTCCACGATGGCAGAGTGGGCAAACGCCAACATTCCTTGCTTGTCTTTGTGAAAAACACACCCAGGAGACAGGCTGCCCATCAAGCTGCGCCATCCCTGTCTTGCCAGTCCCTGGGAAACTCCTCCCCATCTTCACGTGTGAGTCCCTCTGGCTGCAGGCCGACTTTTCATTGTTCTCCACCTGAAAAAGCTGTTTCCGAGGAACTGTAGTTTACACAAGAAGCTCCGGTGGTGTAGTTGCTGGGCTAATATCTGCAAAGTCGGCAGTTCGAAACCACCAGCAGCTCCTTGGGAGAGGAGGCGGCTTTCTACTCCCATAAACAGCCACATTCTCAGAAGCTCACAGGGGAGTTCTACGCTGTCCTATATCCCATGGGATCGAACTGAGTCGGAATTGACTCGATGGCAGGGAGAAATTTAAACGTGAGAAAACGAACCCCGAACCTGCTGGGGACGAGACGATCCTGGTTTGAGTTCTAGAATAGAGCTGGCCCGTGGGGTTTTGCTGATGCTAGTCTCTGCAGGCCTTTCTTGAGTGGCACCTCTGAGTGGATTCAAACCGCTCATTTTCGGCTCAGTCGATAAGTGCCAACTGTGTGCATCACCCAGGGACCTTGCACAGGAGAAAGGATAGCCACTCTCTATGTGTAGCCCAGTAACAACAACACACGCGCCCCTCAGTACAGGGCTCCCCACAGGGCTTCTCAAACAGTAGCCCAGACACCTCATTATCCCCTGGAGGGCTGATCGGGCACTGATTGCCGTTCCTGACTCCTGCCTTGGGGAGGGGCCGGAGGATTTGTTTCACTCACAAGTCCCCTGTGACAGCGATGCTACTGGCCTGGCAAGCACACTGCTCACAACTGGACCAACAGACGACAGCATGACACGCAGTCATCGAGTTGATTTGGACTCATGGGGCAGAGTAGAACTGCCCCTGTGGGAGTCTGACACTCTAAGTCTTTATGGGAGTAGGAAGCCCTGGTTTTCTCCTGTGGAGGGGCTGGTGATTTCAAACTGCTGACCTTGCGGTTAGCAGCCCAACGCATAACCAGTAGGCTACCAGAGATGACGAAGAGCTGGAAGCGGACAAGGATTCCATCTTGCTTGGCTCCACAGTCGGTGCTCGGGAAAGCAGCAGCGAAGAGATGAAAGGCACTTTGCATTGGGTTAACCTGCTGCACAAGAGCTCTTTAAAGTGCGGAGAGCAAGGGTGTCACTTAGGGGACTAAGGTGCGCCTGGCCCAAGTCATGGTACGGTCAGCCGCCGCCTATGGACGTGAAAGCTGGACAGAGAATAAGGAAGACCGAAGAGGAAACAATGCACTCGATGGCACTGGAGGAGAACAGTGAACATACCATGGACTGCCACTGTCCTGGAGGAAGTGGAGCCAGGATGCGCCTTCGAGGCGAGGATGGTGAGACACGTCATCAGGAGAGATCAGTCCCTAGAGAAGGGCATCCTGATGGCTAGAGCCGAAGGTCAGCAAAACAAGAGAGAGGCCCCGGAGGGGATGGACGGACACAGTGGCTGCAACATGAGCTCAGAGAGGGCAATGTCCTGTGAGGATGGCGCAGGGCTGGACAGTGCTTCGTTCTGTTGTCCACAGGGTTGCTGAGTTAGAGCCAATGATGTGGCATCGCACCACAGCAGCAAGTTTATCAGATAGCTTTACAATGCACCCGAGTACGTCCTGACAGTGGCCACGACGCAGGCCTGGGCATCGTGTTCATCTGCTACAATCGAGCTGATTCCACAGCCACAAATGCCACCGCCACGTGCACTGACCCCCAGGGCTCCACAAGGACACTTGGCTTTAAAAGCTTCAGTGCTATGGACTTCTATCCTTCCCCCAAAAGACCAGTAGCCACCCTGTGCGTGTACTTTCATGTGCGCGTGTTGGGAGAAAGTCCAGCAGACAAGCGAACCATCAAACACCCATGGCCGTGGAGTTGATTCCAACTCATAGCAAGCCTATCAGGCAGGATGGGCCTGCAGTCGTGGGGTTTCTGAGGCTGTAATCGTGATGGGAGTTGACAACCTCATCGTTTGTCTACAGTGGGGCTGGGGGTTCGAACTGCTGACCTTGTGGTTAGCAGCCCAATGCATCATCAATCCCTTAGAGAGGACAGCCCAGGTGTCAATAAGTGAGCC